GTGGTAGAAAAGCTTCTCAGTTTTATAAAAGGGGACTTTAAATGCCAGTAAAACTCCGTAGATTTGATCCCAAGTCCAGTACGTTGGAAGCATTCACCCAACATCGCAAAGAACAATTTATGGCGAGCAACTATTTATGAATAGTACTCTACATAAATATTAATCGAATTAATGTTTCTGGCACAACCGTAAATATGTATGGGGCTCATGGCGCAAGCGGAGGTATTTCTACAGATGAATGTCCACTAGCTAAAATGAACATGGAAAAGTAAGCACATGAATACATTAAACCCGAACCTTTCAATATAAATGTTAATATTGTTGTAGCGCTTTTGTTAGTGAAAATTCCAGAAAATTACCACAAAAATGGGTTCGTGTATGGTTATTGCTATTATTATTAGTATTATTCCGCTTTAGATTGTATCGCTCTATTGAACTAGTCCCACTAACCTGTTTTGCTAGCAACTGAGCCCTGATTTATGGCATTATTAGATTGCACTTTAGCAGTTTTATGGTACCGCATTGTGTTAGCAACAATAGACACCTTGCGAATGTGTACTTTGATAAATGTCAACTGTATACGATCAATTAGCATAGAGATGGTTTTTTTTCGATTGTAGTGAGCGTGAGAATACGGTGATACAATACAAAGTGGTCCATTTCCATTGTTAATCGTTCCCATATGGATTGGAAACGCTTTGCTAAACATACGTGTTTCGGGCGAAAGTGAAAAAGTTGCAAAATTAGTAGCGGAAATTGCACCGTGGTTAGAGGCAGGAGAACGTTGGTTATTGAAGATCTGATTTATTTTGAAGTTATTTAGCACGACTTGGAAGAAACCCCGATGGTCTTTAATGCGTAAACCGCTCTATAGTGATTTGACTTAGAAAACGCGTTGAGCTCCAAGCGTTTTCTCTTGACAAACCCGGTTGATTTTATAGTTTTCGAATTTAGCTTTTGTTTAATCCACGATTCGTTCATTGCGATTAATTAATTTGCAGAAACAGCAATCAAGGCCGGAAATCACAAATTTGCAAAAAATCCACTTTTTACGAGAACAATTATGTGAAGTTGCAAAAGTGAGGTCAATTTTTCAGAATGCAAACAATTCATTGGGAAAATAAATCACTTTCGTCAGTTTCCTTATTAATTTGCCTCAATTGTGGCGTTAACTGGGAGCGCTAAAGTGTGTTATTTTCGTGGTCATTTAATGCAAAAACATGTGAAACTCATACAAGATATAAGCGACGGTGGCGAAAATATGAGCAAAATGAACCGCTGTTTGCTGATAACTTGGAAAAACGCCTAGAAACTGCAAAAACTCGCCAGGAAATTAAATAAGTTAGTGTAAGACATTTAATGAATGACCAATGAGAAAATTGGGAAAATGGGGAAAATAATTTCTTAAATAAATTCCTTTCCCCGATGGCTTAAAAGCACGCAAACTTCTCTCCAACAGCAACAACTTTTCTGTCGATTGTGAGTGCGATAAATGTAATTTATATGGTAGAAAGCATGCGAAAATCGGTCACTTAATTAAAATCGAAGCAGCAACTTTGTATCATTTTCGAATAAATTGGCATCAATCTAAGCGAACAATCATGATTAACACCAAGCCCCATCAATCCTCATGAAATTCGTGGGCCGTTCGCGTAATAAATCAAATGAATCAATAATGCAACTCTTGAAATCGCTCTTAATCCGTTTCCTGTCTTTTAACTTTTAAACTTTTACGGCGGCAACCACGCAACCCAATGTTTCATTACTCCTTTTTTTTTTAATGAGAATCGATTTTACGATAATCTTGTTCACTCCTTTCACTTACTGACCTTCGCGGGGGTATTTGTTATTTCCTTTGTCTTTGTTTGTTAAATGTGTAACACTCACTAAAACTTATTCAAATTGCCGTTTGCCTAAAACGATATGGATTAATGCCAACTGTGATCGATATGCTGCAGGATTGGAGCATTTAAGTAGTCAGATGGATTAAATTGGCTGAAGCAATGGACAGAATCTGTCGGAAGTGTTAGCTAATCGATGAATTTCTGTTGCGCTAAGAGCATGACTTTGTTATAAACCTGGCCATTAAAAGAGGCAGGGAGTTTGGCAAAATTTGGAATTTGTAAATCTACTAGGCAACAGTTATATTTCGGAAAATGCTTCAGACATTTTGTTAGTTTCCTTTTTAGTAAACTTTTTTGCGAAAGAAACTTATTTAAAATTGGACAATTAGCTCCAACAAATGTACCATTTTTGTCGCTTTAGGTTTTGCATTATATGTTGAACATATTCGGATATTTAGCGGAAGCTTTCTTCCTCTGCGCTTTTCCTTTTTAACTTTCAAATTGTTGGCTTATTTTCAAACACCCCTCAAAAACCCACTGGGCTTTCCAAGTTTCAAGGGCTCTTAAAAGGCGAAAATTTGCTTCGGTTTCAATACGCGGGTTCAATTCGGTGATTCCCTAGAAGGTTTTTAAACGATTTGCTAAGATTTTTCAAAATTGACTGTGTGTTTTAATTATAATGTTGGCATATTTAAGTTTGCAATAATAATTGTAAAACAATGAGAAAAAGTAAGTGTTTAACATTGGAAAAAACGTGAACAGCAAGTAAAAAACTTAAAAATTTTGTGAGTTGTTGACAGCTTTGCCAGTAACTGTAGAGTTGAAAAACTGGTGCAATTTTTTGAAAACTCATTAAAATGATCTGCGATCAGTCACAACTAAAAAATAAACAAACAAACAAATGTAATCAAACGTCCCCATAAATTCGTGCAAAAATCTACCAAGATTTCTGAGTTTGGTTTGTTTATTGGAGGATCAAGAAAGTGTATCAACTATTAGTTTGAAAATTAGTGAAATTTTTTTAAAAACATATTAAAGTGTTTTCGGATCATTCACAGCTAAAAGTGAACACACACAAACAAACAAATATAGTGGAAGAAAGCAAATTTCCCATGAATTCGCGCAAAATTCTACCGCGGTTTTTGAGTTTGCTTTGCTTATATGAGGATCAAGAAAAAAACAAACAAATCTAATGAAAGAAATAATTTCCTCATAAATGTGTGGTGTTTCAAGAGTGATCTAACAAACTTCAGGAAGTGATTACTGGAGTCGTTTTATGATGAAAAGTTCTGATAAGTGAAGGTGCTGAAGGGCATCATTTCGAAAATACGGGGTTTTTGAAAAACTATAAATTACTATTTTTAAGAATTTTTGCAGATTCTAATAGTTATCCAGTGGCGATGATCAGATTGAAGCAATCAAACATTTTTTGGTCCAGCAGCAGCGCGCGTCTCGGCATGATATTGGCTATTTTTGAAAGAAGAAATTGTGCTCTCCGAACAGAAAATTTCTTTTGAGTTTTCTTCATACCACGCGTCGTTTTCGAGCAAAAAATGAAATTATTGTTCATGCACCTCTTGGCGTCATAATATCAGAGATTAGTATATTATCTTTGATAATTTCAACAGTTAGTTTAATTCAAACTTTTTTTCACCGGGCGCGAGCGCTTCGACATAAAATTCAACACTTTTGCAGTCAAAATGGTGAGATACCGAAAAACGTCTTAAAATCCCAACACCAACAGAACCAACATTTTTTAGTTGAAACTTTGAAGTTATTGTAGTTTACTTAAAATATTAACTTAAACTTAAAAGTTGAATTAGTTGATATGATGATGCCAAGACGTATTAATGCGAATTTTATTTTTTTGCTCGAAAATGACGCGTTGTACAAAAAAAGTCAAAAGAGTTTTTTGGTTTGGGATTGATTTAGCAATGAAGGGAAAATATTTTTTGATAAATCGGTAGCGCACAACTTTTTTGTTCAAAAATAGTGATTGATAAGTTCTATATTGTTGAGGCGGATTCATTTTTTACAAACTTCTTTTTGGGTATTTCGCCTCAAAAAATTTAGTCTTTCAGATCAAATTAAACGAGTAG